AGGTAGACTGTGGCATACGCGCAACCGATGTAGATCACCTGGTAAACGCCACAGAACAGCTCGTCATTGAAGGCACGGAGGAGAAATATAGGAGCTATTGTTCAGAGCTGAGAGCGGCTGGTGTCTTACCTTCATGCATGTGTTATAGAGGGAGATGAAGGAGGAGAGCAGATCCAGGTAGCGTGTGGTGAACACTATGGCAAACAGGATTTGGCTTTTTCCAGAGATACCTTTAAGGGAAAATATCAAGCAGATTTAACATTAAGGTTCAGATATGCCATCAGAAACTTCACAAGTAGTCTGGATACAACATGAATCATAATGTGTTTCCTTATTGAACAGCGACATCTACTGGAAACATGAATATTTATCATCTTGTGTGTACCAGTTTCTTTCTGGGGTCTGTGTGCATTTATTTGACCTGATTACAGCCAACAGAGCTCTTTACGTTATTTTTAAAGATTTATTTTATTTTAGGGCAGATTCTCCTCCCACTCTTTCCGCTGACCATTAACCATGCCACAAAACGTTACAGTGTTTTCTCTGTAAATAAAGTTTCAATGTGGTTTAAAGAGGCACACTGATCCACACTGGGTAGCATACAAATGTTTTAGCAAAAAAGGTTCTTGGTTTTGAAACCTGCTTGGGTTTCTGTTGTCCTCAGGAGTTTAAAAACATGTGTTAGGTTAGTTTACTGGTCTAAATTGCCCGTAGCAGAAGATAAGCGGGTCCTGGTCCTCGAGGAGGTTGAGCTACTGTTTTTTGCATCTTTGCTTACACCTGTCCTCACATTACATGTTGTCTGCAATAACTGCCTCATCCTCTCTTAGCATCTCTGTGTCTTCTTTTCCTCTTCCCTGAGTGTGAGTGGTGTGCTTGAGCTTTGCCTCTGAAGTGTATAAATAGTTTGTCCTCTGTCCAGGTGTTCAAGGAACAGAGAAGGTTTTGGTTGGCAGCACTGTGCTGCTGCTCGGTATCATCCCTGATCCATATTCTTCATATGTTATTATTGTTAGATATATTATCTATAACTTCTGCAACACCACAATCTTAAACTCATTTGATATTTTTTAATTTCTGTCAGCAATACGGTGGAAAATGTTTACACTTATGTTTAGATTTACATTTACTTTGTATATAGGCTCTTGTTATATTTCTATTTCCTACTTTTATTTTTACCATATGTACATGCCTGTTAAGTCATTTATATTCTATATATTGTGTTAGATATTGTATATAAGTACTATTCTTTAATGTTGTGTGAGTGGAGCAACTGTAGCAAACAAATTTCCCCCTGGCGATCAATAAAGTATTTCTGATTCTGATTCTGATATGTATGAACTGTATTTACCTAACATTGTCCTTCTGCTTCTCTATTGTGTAACCACTATACTTCTTTCTACTATATAATATATAAAACATCTATTGCATATCTGTCTGTCCTGCACAAGGTATCCCTCCAGGGTTTTTACTTTTTATTGCATTAAAGGTTTTTTTTTGTGTCTAAATCGAGAGTTTAAGAGTGTGAAAATGAAAATACAGATGTAACTACATAATATCTAACCATGTTAACCCAAATTACACATAAACATTACCATATCTCACCTAACATAACCCCCATTAACTTCACTTCCACAGCCAAACCTCCAGCACTGTGGGCCAATCACAGGACTGCTCCTCATAACCCCAGTAGGATAAACCTCAGTGCCCTTCTGCTGTGAGAAAGCAATGTGTGTGGTTCACTATTAAACCATAACACATGTTTATAAGAGCTATAAAAAAACAACAACAACAACAACAACAAGTCACACGGACGTCATTAGCTCCTTCAGTTAGCTCCTTCCGTAGCGCCTTCTAGAACGCCACGTCAGAAACCAGACCAATAGAGTCGAGCACCGAACCTCTCGTCACCGAGCAGGAGAGAGCGAGGGGGGGGCAAAACCGGGGTAAATAACGACCCTGCCACTAATAAATGTAATAAAACGTTCAGTATTAATTCGCTCCACTCTTCTACTAAACACCAGGCTCCTCGGTTGACCGACTGCACACTCTGTCCACGCACAGTTTGACCAGCAGTCACCCCTAGCAACCTCTCAAAGTTACTGAGTTACCGTTGTTGACGCCGACTTCAATGTTGATGCGTTTTCTAGTAAACAGCGTAGAAGTGAAATGAATAAGGGACGTAAGTTAGACGTGCAGGTTCAGGTTGTTATCGGCAGTAGCATTGACTGCTAACGCTACTTAGCCGCTGAATGAATGAGTGGGGGTGAAACGTTAGCATGCAGCTAACGTGAGCTAGCCCGGAGTTTGCAAGGGTGCAACGCCACAAATGTCACCGATAAACAGCTAAAGTTAACCCGTAACGTTGGTAGGCATCTTGTAGCAGGTGTAACACAATTTACAGCCACGGCTCACCTGCACAGGACCTGCTTTTCCATATTTTGAGCAGCAGGATGATGATAGCAGCCAGATGAGAGAGGTCCCCTGTCAGTCTGAACACGTTCATTGTCGCAGTGGGTTAACACACACAGCTGGCAGGATAACGCCGATGTCCCTTTCTTCCTGTGAACTAGATCGGTTTTTGTTTCCCCCGCACACACACGTAACGCTGTTTTTGTAATGTGGATGTGTCTCTCCTCCTGAACTTGGTGGCAAACCGGGGCTGCGGGATTCACACGGTTGAAAATATGGCGAGAGTGCAGGTCGACGTGGAAGGGGGCGTGAGAAAACACACAGAGAGGTTCCGATTGGACCAGAAATGTGACCGACAGCACCGATAGATCCGCCTTCAGAGAGCTGGACGGAAGAAACGTGAGCCCTGTGTGAGAGAGGACGGACATTAGATTGGGTGGGACCAGTACTTCAGCAGCATTCAACTATGTTCTTGATATCAGCGCCGAGATAAATAGATAGATTGATCATTAACGTTATAACATGCAAGCAGCTATTTAATGTGGCTTATTTTAGCAGCTTTATACCATGAGGGTGGTTTAATCTGATATATTAATCTCTAAAATAACTAGAAATGTCAAATACTGTACATTTGATGCAGTAAAAAGTACAATATTCTAGTTTAAAGTACACTATTCTAGTATAAAGTACACTTTTCTAGTATAAAGTACAATATTCTAGTATAAAGTACAATATTCTAGTATAAAGTACACTTTTCTAGTATAAAGTACAATATTCTAGTATAAAGTACAATATTCCAGTATAAAGTACAATATTCTAGTATAAAGTACACTATTCCAGTATAAAGTACAATATTCTAGTTTAAAGTACAATATTCTAGTACAAAGTACAATATTCTAGTATAAAGTACAATATTCTAATTTAAAGTACAATATTCTAGTATAAAGTACAATATTCCAGTATAAAGTACACTATTCCAGTATAAAGTACAATATTTCAGACGCTTTCACTTACTCTGACTGATTCTAGCTGGGGTTATATGAGGTCAAATTGTTGTATGGTGTCTAATTAGGGTATAACCGTGTTTGTTTACTGTCTAATAGTGAACATCACTTCTAGGTTTTGTCAACGTATGGCTTGTTACCTTTTATTAGTGTACCGTAAAATTAAGTACGACCACAACAGCAACGAAACTAATAAAGGGATCATGTGATCAAACAAATGCTCTCACAATCCACAATCTTAAGAGGTCTAATCAGGCAATAAGTGAAAACCTGTGTGGGTTGGGGCCTTTAAGTACACGCACTACAATTAAAAGTACATTTGTAATGACCTCTGAGTACATTGATGTACTAACAATAAATGTACTCAGATACTCTCCAGCACTGGAGGAAAAAATGCTTCAAAAGTGCTCTCTTGGATGCCCCTGTGGCAGATAAAACAAGATGCAGCGCCCTCTAGGGTGCCTTTAAAATGGAGAAATTGCCATGCAGGGTGCACTGGTACACTTTTTATTTTGTTTTATTTGGCTCTTCCCCATCAGATAGCCTGAGCCACTGCTCTGCTCAGCACCCAGTAACAGCAGCCAAGTCACATCCATCACCAAACAACTGAAAAATAGGATATCAGCAATAAATTCTCTAGTGCAAGTCTAGATAAAGTATATCAGTGTTCTGTTACACCTCTTAATGCCCTGTGTTGTACCCTGTCTGGTTGCTCTTCTTTGGTCACAGTGGATGTCATTAGAGTCCTACAATGCATTACCTGCTCCCCCAGTCTTTAAGGCTGGAAACAGGGGCCCAGAAATCCCCATTTTCCCCATGTGTGTATTGTAATATTGTTTGGGAATATAGGAATATGCACCACTGCAGCACAACTGACAAAGTAGGGAAGGAACCTGAAGGGGGATCTTGTTTAATTTAAGCAGTCTTTAGGCCCTTTGCTTCATATTTTTGATAATTAATTTAATTTTGACACAGCTAACCTGGAGCCAGAAGAGGAACACTGTATACATAATGCATTATAGAGGTATCATCTTTGTCCCCTAGCAAACAAATATATTCAAAACCACATCTCATTAAACATCTCTTAACATTTTGTCCCAATCGATATGTTTATAAGATTCCTCTACATGTTTTTAATCAAAACAGAAACAAGATATTTTGCTTTTCTTTTACCCTACAAATATGTTTGCTTACACTTTTATTACCTATTTCCTTTTTAGTGAACAGCCACATCACTATTACTATCACTATTGTTTTCTGAGTATTTCAAACCACACATCAGACATTCCCCTCCTTTTCTAGATTGCTCCATCACGAGTTGATAATATACTTGTTCCTACATGTTCATAAATGCTGTTCACATTAGGCAATAACAGGCTGATATCACAAAATTTCACTCTGACCCTACCTTTATCTGTAATAGTCCAATATGAAGTGTTAAATCTATTTGCTATGAATGTCATCATTATCATGTCATGTTGCCATAGACACACTGAAATGCCTGCTTATGGAAACCCAGACTGTTATGCATTCAACTGCAGAATACAGGAAAATAAGAAGGAAGTAAGTGTTGAGGAAGTGCAATACTTCCCATGTGAGACATTTAGACAGCCTCATGCAAGGAATAATGAGATCATTCACAAGCTGTCAAGCCACAGACATGCACCGGTTGATTTGGTTTTCTCTCCTGCTTACCTACCTGCCAGTAACAGGTAAGATGTCTTTGTAATGTCTGTCCTAGCATTTAAGGAATAATACTTTAAGGGAATTCACTGTTCAAGAATGAAGTCCCACAGCTTCTGTTCAACAACAGCTCAGTGATTTCTCTAAAACATTTAAGATCATAAATCTATGTCTATCATTTCAGCGAGCATGGAAATGACTAGTAGCTGCTTATCACAGCCGAACGAGGCAATCTGGAAGAAAATGGGACAAAGTGTGGTCCTTCCTTGTACCGTCATGCCAAATTGTCGAGCCAATGACTTGGAGTATGAGTGGTGTATTTTCAAAGAACACTCCTGTTTTTGTCTAAAGCTGCTTGACAATCACAAGTACAGTCTGGATGGATCATCTTTACACATCAAGTCACTTGATGCTAATGACAGCGGGATCTACTACTGTGCTGCAGTACTGAATGGAGAACCAGCACAGGGCAAACTGCACGTAGGGTCGGGTACAACTCTGGTAGTGAAGGGTAAGAGAGAAAACTGCTTTTTAAAGGTCAATGCACAGATGTTTGGATGTGTTGATTAAGACGAGTTTGGACAAACAGCTTTTCTTTTGTTTTTCAGAAAAAGTTAACATAATGGTGAGGCACATTCTTCTGTGGGTGTTTTTTGTCCTCTTGACCATCTACAGCTTGGCAGTAGTGACACTTATTTTAAAGAAGGTAAATTCGTAGAGAGGTTTATTTTAAATGTTATGTATTGTTAAGACCTGTCAGAGTTTATTAAATTGTAAAATGTACTGTGTGTGAAATCTGCCTCTTCCTCTCTGTTCTAGTATGGCTGCAGAAGGACGACCAAAACTGAAAGGGTTTGTGGAGAAGTGTCTTATTTTCTGTTTTAATTTCTGTTTTAAGTGTTTACTTAATGGGGGAAAGAACAGCAGAAGCAAAAAGAGGAACAGGAATTGATGCCTCTGGCAATAAAAAGACTCTTTCAACACAACACACCACTTGGCTTTTCTTGTAAATAGAATACAAAATAAGTAATCCAAATATCTCTGTATATGATAAAATTCTTCTTCACTGTCCAAACAGAGTAACTCAACCAAAACGACACAATTTCGTGATGTGCTGCAAGAAATGTACAGCAAAAGGAACTTGCAGAGAAGTAAACGACTTGTGAGCAGAAACCGTTCCCAAGCTGAGGTAAATCTTATTGCAGCATGTTATGGTTAGATGTAGTCAGACAGATTGAGTAAGCATGAAACTTCTGCATAGTTTGTGTTACAGCACATAGAAAGTTTTCAACCAATATGAAAATTTGCTATTTAGTGATCATCATTTTTTATATGAAATGTAATATCATTGCAGGCGACGAGAACGGGCGCCAACAGCTCAAATGACGACGTCTATCAAAACGTCTAAGTGTCGTTCAAGGATATTAAATGACAGATCATCACCACTGAGAGCAAAAAGCCTGAAGAGAGACGCTGTTATCTGACTGAGGAAATGAGCAACTCAACACAGGCTGCAGGGCAGCTTTGTGCTTTCTCACCTTTTCTCATAAAGTGAGACATAACAACTACAACAAAAGGTGCTGAGTCACACTTCAATTTTTCTCGAGTTTTTCAGTTTCGGCAGTGATACTCACAGCCCTCTTTTGAAATCAATCAATGTTGGAGCAACAATTTCATTCTTTTCAAAACCAGGGCCTTGTTTACCTGAAAAATAAATGAGGGAAGAAAATCCAATACAATTCAGAGATGTGGTCACATCATTTTAATTCATCAATTTAATTTCTTCCATATATTTTAGGCTAATGAGCCAGTCTATAGAAAAATAGAGTGAATTTTACTTCCAGGAACGGAGAGTAAAAAGTGGCACACGTAATTTACATTTACATCAGTGCAAATACAGTAAGTAAAGAAATGAATTATCAATTATTGACCAACACTTTGTCGACATATAAGGAAATCACAAAAAAACATGTAAACATGTAAACATGTCATTCTGGGTATAGTTCTGTACATTTCTGATCAAAAACCAGAGAAACATTTCACATTCAGATGCAATAAGTTGATCATTACAAACAATGTAAAGACAAAAAGGCACATTACAGACGACTTTATATGTTAAACAGTACAGCGTATGGTAGACAATGTTAAACTAAGAAAGAACAGGTTTCACTTTTGGTGTTGTAAATCATCATTAAGGCATTTAACAACCTGATATGTTTAAGGCATCTTGCTGTGTCACATTCTGTACAATGTCGTGATGTTAACATGTCTATGTGCATTTTGTTTAACGCATTAAAAGCTGTGATATGACCCAATATGATCTAATGTTACTCAAGTACTGGTTATAATTTGCAGTGAAATACAACTCTGTATAAGGCCACACAGATGTAAATAAGTGTCAGAGCATCAAGTTGAATTACTGCAATCTGGAGCATGGCTGGAGTTAAAGCTAGTATTGTAATTTTGTTCATGTTTACAGCAAATATGACGGTATTTACTGCACTGCAGCCATTTATTCATAATGTCTGCTGTAATTATATGTTTGCATTTGCAGCATTTGTTTTGTTGTTTGGTTGAATGTTTTGTGTACGTCTTGTGTTTGAAAGACATTTCAGAAAAACTTTATGATAATAAAATGAAATCAAATCAAATTTCCCCCTTGTTGCTTTAGGGAAAATTAAGGTGAGTAAATGATTTACTTAAATAATGAAATTTGTTTTCAACTAGGTGCCGCTCAACCAGACCGAGGCCTGTTTCACCAAATCTGCTTGAGACTGATACACTTTTACACTGATACAATTTGTAACATGTGATGCTGCCAGTGTGTGCATTTAGGCAAAATATAGAGCGTTACCAGGGTAAATTGAGAGCTCTTAGTCTTTCTCCACCACAGATGGGTATAACAGAACGATATGTTGACTAAAAAAACATTCCAGATTTTAGCTTTGATGTCTTTTTTGTGTCTGTCACAATAGAATAATGCCCCTTAACCAAACGACCAAAAACAACCCTGAAATGTCCTTGATTGAAAAAACCCCACATTAATATTATTTACAGTTTTGTACCAATGAACGTGGCATTATGTGCTCCTACATAGGAGGTACTTAGTAGACAGTAAGTAGTCATTTATTTTCATCTTCTAGCTTCTTGTCCCCAACCTGTCTTGGTTCAAGAGCTCTGACCTTTAGCTGCTCAAGCTGCACACCGTACACATAATATATTTTTTTTAATTGGATGTCAGCTAATCTCCACTGGCAGTATGCATGACTTCTGTTTCAGGATGCTGCTCAATTATTTCTGTATCAACTTTCAAACATTCAGTTTTAAGGTTAAGACGGCTACAGTTCCTCTATTAAGTACAAATTTGTATTTTTCACACCCTTTTGAGGAATTGGTCCCTTTTTCACAAAGCACAGCCATCATACAGTATGTTCCTGCTAATTACCTGCTGAGGTCAATGTGTCTGACATTTAACAAAGTATTATGATCCCTGCTATGTTTGGTCCAGTTATCCCCTTATTATGTTTGAAAAGGACTGCCTTATGGCCTTCAGATAAAGTATATGTAGGGATCTGGAAAAGTGATTATTATTGTCTACTTGGTGCCACCAGTCAGCGCACAAAGATAATTTACAGTCGTTAACAATGCATTTGCAGTATATATTTATCCGTATACACCTGGAGTCATTTACACATTACTTTCAAAATGAATTCTCACTTAGCAATAAAGAATTTCCCAGCTGGAAATACGAAGGTTAGCCATCAATGTACTTTGTGTCAACGGTGTGACTGCTGCGAATGGAAAACGGCCTCCAAGCCAGGGCTTGCAGAGCAGCAACGCACATGGGCACCAGACACACCAAGTAGAACATGACGCTGTGCAGGCTCTCCAGGGCGCTGGAAACAAAGAGGTTTTTATTATGAAACCGTTATCACAATCATTTGAAACTTTAAATGTAACTGTGTGCGTGTTTGGAAAATAAAACAGTGGAATTCTAAAACTGAGTAGATTGTTTCTAATAAAAAAAAATGGTAAATGGACTGAAATTCTTTTACAGCGTGCAACACTGCATGCATCAGGTACAATTTGGGGTTCAGTATCTTGCCGAAGGACTGGGGGTGCTGGGAACTGAACCAGCGACCCTCCGATTACTAGACGACCCACCTGAGTCACAACCACAAGCCTACACATTCCTCTTGTTTATTAGTTTTCAGTCAGTACTCAACAGGCATATCTGACTCCACAGCAAATATTTAATTGGCTCTGAATTAAGGAAGTTATACTGACTATTTATTTACTTGAAGATAATTTTCATGGGAAAAAGGAAACTTACTTTAAAGTTTCTGAGCTTTAAAGTGGTGTGTGAGGTGGATTTCTGTATGAGCATTAAACTTTGCTGTAGTTACTTTGGCATTATCTTAGTTCTACTTCATTCCAAACGCTTATCATAGGGATTTAAGCAGTTATGACCTGAAGCCATTTTAAACCATTAAGATGAATAATCATTACACTGGTGGTTCTGCAAATTCAGCTAAATTATATATACTTTGCATTACTACTGCTTACAGAAAGTTACAGTATTTGTAGCATAAAACCATTTTTGTTTTGTTGAGCGCTGGTGGAGGAATAGTAACAGACAGAAAATAGTCACTGAACACAGCTGAAGCTTCATATTAACTTCAGATAAACACTGGCCTGTATTTTTGTACACAGCAAGGACTGTGGATTTTGTTCCCCATCAGTTAAATTGGAAGCGCACCAGGAAAGGATCCCTTAAAAGCCAGTGTGAACAGGAGGAATGATTGTAGCAACACCTGGCTTGTTGGACATATGGCCACCTGACTATTATATTATAAAAACTGTGAACCTATCCTTAAAAGCTGCTTTCAGTTCATCCAACAGTTTATTTGTCAGAGTCATGTTATTGCTGCATTGTAATTTTCAGAGTAATTTATTTTTTGGTTTGTTAGTCGGAAAAACAGGAAACGAATTACTCAGAAAAACAGGGAACAAAACTAGAGAGAGTCAATGCAATATGCTTCCGTACACTAGACCTTATGTTATGTTATAAACTTATGTCTTATGGTGCAAAATATGGTTGTGATATTAATCATTCGCTGACCTGCATGTGATCACCTGTGACGTTTTACAACAAAGTGAAGGAAATATGTCTCCTTTTACTCTTCCACTACAGATATGTAGTCAAGCTCAAATATCACCCCATACATTGCACCATTATTCTATTATACTATCTTTATATCAGTGGCTCTTAAAATGACAATAATATTGTTGCAATTATTTCTGGGACAATGTATCATCCAACAAAAGCTGTTATTGTGACAGGTCCACAATTTACTTAAAGTTTAATTTCATACTACAGTGAACACTTTGGGAAATGGTTGTTAGAAATATAAAGAATACAACATTTATAAAACACGCGTATTCAAGGGTCACCATCACTGGCTGGCCCTCTTATAATATTAACATTTTCCCTCAGAGTGTGGTGTTTTCTAAGTCTGGGGGAGCAAACAAACATTAGTTCCTACTGAATTTTAGATTAGAAACATGGGTTTTCAGCAGGGAATTATAACTATTTTAAGAGTAATGCCTTGTTTTTCACTGCAAAGCAAAGTTTAGTTAGACTTATTTGGTTTGGCCGAGACTCAAGAAGAAGCAAAAAAAAACTCTCTTTGTACCTTGGATTTGAATCCCTCCCTGCTTCCTTCAGCTGTTCATATCCAAACTGGTTGAGCATATTCAGCACTATCATAGGGGCCAGAGACTGAGCCGGCTTAGTGAACAGTGCATTCGTCCCAAACACCATGGAGGAGAGAGGGGAACTGTAACAAAAAAAAACATGATCAAAAATATATCACCAGCAAAACAGCACCAGTGTGTTTGATAAGTGAAGGTTGGCTTCATTAGATACATGTTTGGTTGTATGGACTGGTTACAAAAATGTGCTTTTGCCTAATTGTCCCTTGTTGAATTGTTAAAACACAACGCTGCACGGTGCAAACACAACAGATGAAGCGCAGTATATTTGTATGCGAGTGAGGAGTCATAGTGGAAGTGTGTTAATATTAATAATATTTCTTACCTGCGCTTGTACTTCTGCAGGTCTGTGTCAATGATGTCAGCCAAGGGCAAACCAAAAAGGCTGAAGGCTGCTTGGATTATGACCCTGCACAGAAGATGGAGGGAGAGTCATTATGTGGTTACATTAGTTAGAATGTTAGAAGCCGTTTAACCTCTTACATGTTAACAGTGAGGAAACAGGCTAGGATATAGTAGTGCTGAGAGCCGAGTGCTAGCATGACAGCCGCCATTCCAGCCTCCATGTAGAAGGTGAAGAGGATGATCCTGTAGTAGCCAAGACCATGAAGGAGACTCTGACTGCTCAATACCAACAGCTGGGATGGAGACAAGGGGAACACATAAATACAAAATACGGGACGATAAAGTAGTACATCAAGTGTTTCCTTGTTGGTGCATTCAGGCGCTTGTATGGAGCTCTGACATCTGAGTGAGTTTGAGAGTGGGCGGCCAAAAAGCACTGTATTCATGAGCTGTGTCAGGCTGGAGCTCAACCTGTACTGACAAAAGCAACGACTTCCTGAAAGAGAGGATAAGGTTCATGATAGGTTTCCGTTTATCTATTTTATTCTATTATTTACAATACCTGTGGACAGATGAATCCCGCTCCGTACATGATGCTCTTGGCCAGTGATGGAAGCACATCTGGAGGAATTAGGTGCTCAGCAAATATCATGGTGAAATTATTAAAGAAAGCCAACATGAAAACCTGGAAAAAGTTCATGAGCACAAAAAGCTGGAAGTCCCTGTTGGTCAGGATTTGCCACATCAAAGTTCTTAACATGGAGAAGGAAACTGCTGATTGATGGGAAGTCTGGTCAACGGAGGACAGTGCATCTGATTCAGATCCTTTCTTATCAAAGCGGCTCTCACTGTGGAAGCCCGTATAGAGCATGCAGCCACAGCTGACCACAGCAACAAACACTGCGAAGGCTTGGAAGGCTGCAAAGTCCTCCATGTTTCTTGACAGCATGCCACAAAAGAGGATGCTGGAGGAGCCAACAAGAGAAGCCACCTGGGAAGTAAAAGGGAGAGGATATGAGAAGGATGGACCTGTTGGGTTAGGGACATGCAGGAAAAAGATGGAGGCTGTATTCGGTATCCAAATGGTGTCTTTACCTGGTTGTACTTTATAAGTCTTAGTCGGCTCTGATGGTGGCTGGAAATTTCTGCAAACAACGCACACTGTGCCAGCAGCACAAAAGTCAGCATGCCGTCAAAGGCGCACAGTGCCACTGTCAAGTGTAAGCCGCTCAACCAGTCACCGGGGGTGTATGACCGCCATGGGAACCAGGCCAGAAGAAAAGTCAGCGAGTAGAGGGGAGCGCCATACAGGATGGAGAGACGTCGCTGAGAGCAGCAAGGCACCTTCGAATTATCTTGCAGGTAGCCAAAGAGAGGGTCATTGACTGCGTTCCACACCATGTACACCACCTGTGGAAACAGGAGTTATATTAAACATTATGTTAAAGGTCTATTTTGATTTACTGATTTAATTTAGTGTTTAATGGATCAACCACGCAAAAATGCCAAATATATGCTTGTTCCAGATTGTCAAATGGGAGGATTTTTCTGCTTTACTCCAATTCAAATGATTATAATTATTGAGAGTTGAAATGTTTCACTATTGACAGATATTTTACTGACTAAACTGATCCATAGTACAAATAATCCATAATGAATCACCTAAAAATCTCA